TTTCTTGTACATCCCACAAAATATAAGGTTACATTTGTCTCACAGGCTTTGCTTCTAAGAACAAATTGTTGGCATGTTGTATTTGTTTTCTTTTCTTTTCTTCATTTTCCCTCTGCACCTAAAATGTTGTTTTGATAATGAAATGTGATCTACTCTATAAGGGGGTTTCACACCATAATTCGTAATATTTAATGGAAAAAAATTTAAAAAAAAAAACCATTATTGGAGTGGAACTCGATCACAATTTTTTTTACATAATGCTAGGTCTCAATTAACTTTTTGAGTAATATTGATGATGTGTCAAGTAATAGAGTTATAATAAAGAAGTCCACAGCTAGAGTCACAAGAATATTACTGTACCATGTCACTATAATATCATTAGGTCAATAAATTATGTTAATTTTTTAAATCTTACACAAATATTTTTTGAGCATACCAAATTGGTCCGTGGAATCAGATTGGATTACGTATTAGGATGTATTGGATTAGACAACCCCATCCATTTTATAGCCATCCAACTGGAGAAGACAAATTTAAAATGTAGGTCTCATCATCTCATGTTTAGTTCACGTATTAAAAAGTAATGGGCCCCACATTTATCTCATCCAATACTTTACTTAGATAGAGTATTGAATAATGATATAAACATTTAATTACTAAAAAACTCATAAGATAAAGAGTGATATTTATATCAGAGATTATTGAGTAAAAATGTCTTTTGCGCAAACACACACCAACCGGATTATTTAAATCCACAAAATAGGTGAGTTTATTTAATAGTTAATTAAGCTAGGGTCCCTCATTCGGTGTCTAAACCAATTTTATCCTATTAAACTTTTAGTATAAAAAAATGTCCTAATTTTTGAAAAAACTTGAATGTTATGTTAGCGCAAATGTTGAGAGATTAGTTAGTTACTGATTTTCATTACTCATTTTGCCCTCATCACATGAGTTAAGCCTAAAAGATAATTAGTTTCTATTTTTTTTGCATTTGTTATTGAGGTTGTCTATTAGTTGTGAAATTTAAACTTGTGAATCAAGCAATATTGACATTATGATGACATCTAACGATCTGCATTTTAGAGTACCTGTTTGACAATTTGTGTTTATGGAGAGTAAGGTACATTAATAATTTGTGTTTTAGTGTATCTGTCTGACGATTTGTGTTTTAATGTACTTGTTTGACGATCTGTGTTTATGAAGAAAAAAGTACATTAACAATCTGTGTTTTAGTGTACTTGTCTAACGATCTGTGTTTATCAATAAGAAGATACATTAACAATCTGTATTTTAGAAAATTTGTCTGGCGATATGTGTTTTAATATACATGTCTAACAATCTGTGTTTATAAAGATTGTACATTAACAATGTAATACACTTAATGTACCTAATTTTTACATCTTTTAACAACATAATATACTTAATGTACCTAATTTTTACATCTTTTAACAATATAATACATTTAATGTACCTAATGTACATTAACGATACAATACACTTAATGCACCTCATTGAACAACAAATGAGGTACATCTGTTAGTGGCTATCCATATGAGGGATACGTCTGGTCATTGTAAAAAAGTTAAGGCGAAGTCAAGATGTGTACCTAATTTTTCTTAAAATAAATAAGAATGAATGATCACATGAATTTTTCTTAAATTGAGGGTACAATTGTAAAATAACAATATAATACACTTAAGTTGTATTATAATACCACATCTCTTAATAGTACTAGTGATACTCTGTGCAATGCACAGAAACGTCTAAAACTTTTGCAATAGCCAAAACCATGCACCCCGCCAGGTTGACCCCTCTCGACAATTCAGTCGTTATTCCGTCCCCTCCCAAACCTAAGAACCACCCCTTAAAACCTTTGCCTAGTAGCACCAACACACCCTCCCACATCAGAAAATAGAAAAATCACAAAACTCCACTATGCCTACCCCTAACTTCTTGACTGGAAAAACCAAAATCCAAACCTCCATCAATCCACTTCTCTACAATAACCTGCAACCGAATCGGCCCTCGCAAGCTTGCCTGGGATAAGACTGTAAGCATCAATTATATTCATTAACCAAACAAAAACAACACAAAAAGAAAGAGAAATTAATAAAAAAAAAAATCTCATGCCAATATAAAATAATTTTTGAATAGTCGTAGTCTCAGAAATTCAAAAGCAACACCCATAAAATTCACATCTAATTTAAGCATGAAAATTATATAAACTTAATTACAATTGCTTGCAACACAGAAAAAAATTGGTTAGAAATTACCTAATAATAGAATAATGTAGAACTACATAAATTTGGGAGAAGAAAAGTGAAAGTATGCTATTACCAAAAGTATCTTATGATCGGTAAAAAACATGGACCTTACCTAGATGACAGCAACAACAACAAACCACCAAGAACCGCACAAATAACACACACCACCATTATCTTATGATTTTGCTCCTCAAGTAGTGGCACCAATATGAAAGTGTTACAGAATAAAGGGAAAAAGTATTTGAATGTAGGGAGCAATTAATAGGTTACTGAAGTCAAAATCCACAAATATAATGCCTTCACCAGGTGAAAAAAACATAGATAGAGATAGAAGAGAAAGTTAATAGAACATACAAAACGGGAGGTTGCCAGAGGAGAGAGACATTAATCTTATATGCCTCTTTAATACACCCTATAATACAACAATCAAGCGATCTCAAAGCAAACACACCCTATATGCACTATAGTAGCTCTGACTAAAATTGTTTTCTTTGCAATAAAGCATCAAAATGTTGGAGGATTAGAGTTGAGTTCTTTGACAAAGTGAGAATTTGATGTGAGGTTTTTAAGAAGTACATCATTGAACTTAAAAATATAAACAAAAACCATAAACAAACAAATCTATTATAATTGTACATGCAGTTAGCTAGGGGGCCTTCCAGAAGGGTATTGTTGGGACTTAAAAATGGAAATATTTATATATCAGTAAACATCAAAGCTGTTATAGTTGCACAGTTCTAAAGGAACAACCGACAGCTAGCTAACAATTAATTGGATGGCTCTTAACAGCTTCCAATTTAGCCTTGACTAGTAAGTATCAACGGTAGGAGGTTGAAGGCTACTAGGCCACCATTGCCCATGTTGCTCCAATGGAGATTGATATCCTATCCCTTTCCTTTTGAATCAATACTCAAGGACCAAGGAAGGTATTTTATTTTCTACTCAACTCGGTATAGATCTTTGTCTTCAGTGACTTGGAAATGGGTCATTCAATCTTTATTAACAAAAATATAGGTAATGCTCTTCTAAATTTACATACCCTCGCACGATTTGTTTATCTAATGAGATGATGCTTCGATTTTAAATAACGTGATTATCGGCCATTTCAATGATCTCAGTCAAGTTTAATTAGCTCTAATTGGATTTATTGTTTCAGTGAGTGGTAATGCGACCCAAGCAAAAGTTACTGGCGAAGTCCAATGAAAATGACTGTAAACGATTGAAATTGATCAAAAAATTAACAAATTTTAAAACTAAAATGTGCTGAATGTATCATTATGTCATGTGGTTGTGCATTGTACTTTGATTTATTGTTAAAAATGGACATTGTAAAGATGATTTTACCCACTGAATTGTAATCATAAAGTTTCACTATGGAACATCGTTATAAAATGTTAGAATACTAATATAGGGTCAAAGCTTCTCCAAAAATATATATGACTTTTCTAACCTCAAGGGTAGTCAGGCGGACACAGAGACAACTTGTAAACTTAAATGTCTTAAATTTGAAATTTAGTAACTCTCTTAGGGCTAGACCAGCAGAAATTTATCCTTCATGAATTTTCTAGTCTTAACACAGATGGTCTGTCTTTGACCAGACTAAAGACTCAGGGACAAAACCAAAATTTTATCTTGCAAGGGGCCAACAATGGCATAGGCAAAAATTTAATTTAAAGAGGTTATTCAACGTTCGTTGTCAATGGTAAATTTGTATTTATAAAGAACCTATTAAATTTAATTTTTACGCAATGACATTGAAAAAATTATTTTTGAGCACAAAACTCAAAAATGTTTCATGCCATCATAAAAACTCATTTGTCATAATCTCCTCTCTATAAAATCAATGTAGCAAAAAATAGTTCATATGATATCATAATAAAAATGAATTATAAGTCAATCAATTTCGTTTTATATAAACCATATTTGTATCCCTATTTCTTTAATCAAAAAATTTGCTTGTTTTTTCTCTACATCATCAAAATAATCAAACAAATATGTTTGTCGGTACAAGCGACACTCATTCATGTGTTTACATTTCTAACGATTAGTAATATTAAGTCATTTATATTTTTGAATACACTAAATGAGATACTTACGCATTAGGTGTTTTAAAAAGTTAGATGTTAACAATAATTTTTTTTTTTAAATATAGAGGGATCATGGAAATTTTTAAAATTTGAGGGGGCATTAAGCCTTCTCCTAGTTCCGTCTTTGCCAGGAAAGAAATTAGTTGGTGTACGCGTAAATTATTCCAAACACTCATATCCTCAATACCAAAAATAAATAAATATGACTTTCTTTTGCAATCATTGGCCATTTTGACTATTTTTTTCGCTTATGGATAATGGTGTGTTATCAGATCATATAATGACGAAATAAACAGTGTTTTATTGAAGACATCATAATCATCACACCTAAAATGGCACATGGGTATTTTTGGAACTCCAAATAACCGTTAAAATATTTATTCAAATAGGACAATCTGACTTGGACATCACTCTATTAGCTAAACCAACAGCCTAGGAAGGTCAACATTCAATTTGTTATGGGGAGTTGAAGGTTGTCTGTAGGTGATAATTTCACCCCCAAAATCATCACCTAATTAACCAAACGCACTCTTCCTCTTCCTCACTATAAAAATTTCATTTCCTCTCTGTACCTTCACTCAAAGAGCTTAGATTGATTCAAGAGTCTCAGATCACCCTCATTTTCTCTCTCTATCAATTTCATTGAGATATGGGTTCTTGCTTGTTGAAAGCTTTGGCCTTTGTGTTGAGTGCTTTGTGGTTATTTTCTGAGCTTGCACTTGCTAAGCATGCAGGCATAACCAGGCACTACAAGTTTAATGTAAGTGCATGAAACTTCATAGCATGTAATTTAGTCTAATGAGCTTATTGCATTAAGTTTTTTATTGATCTTTTTTTTTTTCTTCCTATCTTGATGTATGATTTGTAGATCAAACTGCAAAATGTCACTAGATTGTGCCAAACAAAGAGCATCCTGACTGTAAATGGGCAGTTTCCGGGGCCTCAAATAATCGCAAGGGAAGGTGATACAGTGTTGGTTAAGGTGGTTAACCATGTTACCAACAATGTCACTCTTCACTGGTAAGGAAATTAATTTGCAACTTCTCTCACTTGCATTGCCATAATTAGTTGTTTAGGTTGCCAAAAAATTTTGATAATCGCAACTCAACTCAACTTTACATACCTTTCAACCAATTATTTGGGAGGGTTACATGAATCCAATTTCGGTGAATTGCCCAGTTTGAAGTTATTGTTTTTGAATTTCACCACAGGCATGGAGTCAGGCAGCTGAGCAGTGGATGGGCAGATGGACCTGCATATATCACACAATGCCCAATTCAGACAGGCCAGTCATATGTATACAACTTCACCATTACTGGCCAAAGAGGGACCTTGTTTTGGCATGCCCACATCTCATGGCTGAGAGTTACACTCCATGGACCCATAGTCATCCTCCCAAAGAAAGGCGTTCGCTATCCATTTCCACTACCCCACAAAGAAGTCCCCATCATTTTTGGTATAAAATTGTTCATCATTATCAATAGTAATAAAGTAATTATGCAGATATTAACTTGGTTCTTGTGCTTTGAGTTGCAGGTGAATGGTGGAAGGCAGATACAGAGACAATTATCAACCAAGCACTGCAAATTGGAGGAGCCCCAAATGTCTCTGATGCCTTTACCATTAACGGCCTTCCAGGACCTTTGTATAACTGCTCAGCTAAAGGTACATAATGCTGCATAACCAAGGATTGGTACCGAGTTTGGTATCGTACTAAAATTCTTGAACCCAATCTAATGAAATTTCGACTAAGGATAAAATTATAACACCAAAAGATCCAGTTTTAGTTAAGAAAAATTGAGATCGATCATACAATATTATGATATGATGACCAATTCTAAAGAGACTCATTTTATAAAAAAACTCACTATATGAATCAGTCTCACATTTATTTTATATTAACTTTAGATAAGACACCAAAAAAGTTAATTTTTCGAGACCGAATATTAAGTTTTTGGTATCGTGATACGTCTGAAATAAATACGAGACATTTTTACGATTATATTAGATAGAGTAATTTTATTGGACCTAAAGTTGAAATTGCTTCTTGTAGATACTTTCAAGCTGAAGGTGAAGCCGGGGAAGACATACCTTCTCCGTCTAATCAATGCAGCACTAAACGATGAGCTCTTCTTCAGCATTGCTAATCACTCTCTCACCGTCGTTGAAGCTGATGCTGTCTATGTGAAGCCATTCAAGACCAGTACAGTCCTCATTACTCCTGGACAGACCACCAACGTCCTCCTCAAGACCAATCACCACACCCCTAATGCCACCTTTCTCATAGCCGCTCGGCCTTACGCCACTGGACCAGGTGCCTTCGACAACACCACCACCGCCGGAATCCTCGAGTACCATCAACCATCCTCCTCCTCAAACACCAAGAAAAATATTAAACTCGCCCTCTTAAAACCAACACTTCCAGTCTTCAATGACACAACATTTGCAACAAATTTCAGCAAGAAACTCCGGAGCTTAGCCACTTCAAAGTTTCCGGCGAATGTCCCGAAAACGGTCGATAAACGTTTTTTCTTCACCGTAGGGCTAGGTTTAAGTCCATGTTTTCAGAACAAAACATGCCAAGGACCCAACAACACGAGGTTAGCAGCTACCATTAACAATGTCTCCTTTGTTCAGCCAAACACGGCTCTTCTTCAAGCTCACTTCTTCAAACAATCAAAAGGGGTGTACACAACTGATTTTCCGGCGAACCCACCGGTCAAATTCAATTATACAGGCACTCCACCGACCAACATTATGGTGAATAATGGCACAAAAGTGTTGGTGCTTCGTTTTAACACTAGTGTAGAGTTGGTCATGCAGGACACTAGTATTATTGGTGCTGAGAGTCACCCTCTACACCTACACGGCTTCAATTTCTTTGTGGTGGGTCAGGGCTTTGGAAACTATGATCCCAAGAAGGATCCGGCAAAGTTCAACCTTGTTGATCCGGCAGAAAGGAACACCGTCGGGGTGCCGTCCGGTGGCTGGGTTGCCATTCGCTTCCTCGCAGACAATCCAGGTCGGTAAATTACACTTTGACCCCCTTAATTATTTTATGATCTCACGTTGTCCATCAACTTCTTCAATTGGTTTAACATTGTCCCAAAATTAAACATTTGTTATGTGCGGATGAAAAATGCCAAAATTAGGGAAACCAACAATTATAATTGAGATGCAATACGAGAAACACAATAGTTAAAGGTATCATATGAATCTGCAATCGTAATTCAGATTATAATATAAAAAATGTAGTAATTATTCGAATAATGTTTAAGAGAATCAAAACTATATATGAATTTTAATGTGATGATGTTTGTGTTTGCTTAGGTGTATGGTTCATGCACTGTCACCTAGAAGTCCACACAAGCTGGGGGTTGAAGATGGCATGGATTGTCATGGATGGAAAGCACCCAAGTCAAAAGCTTCCACCTCCACCGCCCGATCTTCCCAAATGTTGACCATGATTTTTTTTGCCTGAATTCCTTTTTAGATTTTTACCCAGAAAAGGGCAATGGAATTTTTTTTTAGGTTATCATGATTGCTATATGTAACTACAATTGGGTCTTCTGGTTTGATTTTTTTTTTTTTTTCTGTGGTTCTTTTTTGAAAAGTTGGAAATGCATGGGCACCATTATATGCCGACTTGTTATACAATGGGATCTCGTCCCTACGATTTCTCTTTAGAGAATGAATTTTTTATTGTCTGTCTGTAATTAATTGTTTATAAACAACCAATCGCAGTTTAAGAATTATACAAAGACATAAATTAATATTAAAAATTCTCAATAAATTAGTATAATTCTCAAACTTTGATTGGTTAAACAATTTTTTTACCGGCAGGCTTGCGTATAAAGAATTATCTTCTCTTTATCTTTTTTTATTAGTAAATCACCTACCAGAATTCAAGTGGGATTCATCGGATATAAGTGAATTTCCTTACTTTTAAATGGTGGATGATTTATTAAGAATAAAAATAGAAAGAAAAAGTATCAAAGATGATTTAAATATCTTATAAAATTTTACACTCCCAATAGAAACCAAGAGCTTAAATGGGCGTATAAGAGGTCTCCTCTGAGAATTGAACTTGAGAACTAGAGATGTTACAGATCAAAGTCCTGTCATTTAATATACTAGATTAATTTATCTCTACCTTGGAGTTTCTATGGGTCGGATTGGACCATGAGTCTTATTATCCGGCCCAAAAAATAAGTCCGAAATTTGATAGACCCGATAGTTAACTTGTCTAAACACGAGTTCGATACCCTTTCAGAGAGGACTTAAGTTTGTCCTAAAATTCATTACCTTACCCGAAAATACAGCCCATGAGCACCGCCAGCCAAAAACTGGCCCAAGAGCTGGCCTAGCCCAGCTCTGCCCGCCTGTCATTTGACCCATTTGTTTGAAAAATAGTTTACCATTGAAATTTTGAATGTTTGGTCGCAATATTTAATTTAAAATAAAAAAGGTTAGGTGCACTCAAT